ACAAATTTGAAAAATAATACAATCATTTTAAAAATCATTTGGAGAGCACAAGTTGATGCACACTTTGCTCCGTACAACTTTCCTGTCAGTGGTAAAATCTTCATTTATTATTATCCAGGACAGTAGTTTATCAGCTAGATTAAGGTGCATATAAGCTAGGCATATACGTATGCACCCTGCGCAATAGAAGCCATCCTACAAACAGGTGTGTCGTCATGGATACTCACAGCGACCACAGACACAGAGCTTTCGTATAACAATATATTTATTAACAAAGAAAACAAAACAAATATATACACTTAATAATCTACTTACACCCTAGCTCTGATAGACCTACTATCCCCTGATCGCGGGAGCGATCCTAACCCGATTGAAGATGGTTTTGATTGTGGCATTCGCCACTTCTACTTTTGAAGCGCGCACAAAGCCTAGCTTCCGTGACCGGATGTCACGCTGGGACACAAAGTCCGTTCTGGCGCACCAACGGCTGGTTTGCCTCGATCGCAGGAGCGATCTTATCCGATTGAGAATCGCTCCCCCGTGACCGCAGTCACCCAAGGACCTAAAGTCCGCAGGCTTCGTCAACTAGTGACTCGAGCCTCGCGAGCCTGGCTCGCATATGCACCGTCGTGGCGCCAAGTTTTGTGCACACGCACGAGGTTCTCCCACTGTCTCCAGAACCCACCCACTGGCTCTGTACACTCTGTTATATAGGCGAGGCCCACGTGACCTACTACGTCACGCCACCTCCTCGCTTGTTATAACAGTGAAAAGTTTCTATAGGCCGGATACTCCCAAAGCCTTGTGTCTCCCGTTTCCGCGTTCTTCCCTTTACGGAAAAACCCTTCTTCCTGTGGCGAGGCTAATCCTCTTCCAAGCGTCCCCAAATAGATGCCATGAGGCACGCTGGCTAATACGTTACACAGGCAATATCTACGACTAGCAAACAATCACTGCAGCGTGCAACATTCTCATCGAAGTGTTGCACGTCGGCGATCTCCAAAATTCCTCTGAAATGAAGGTTAAAGGACACAAAACGGCGTCGATGATATTTTTCACACCTAGATTTTATCAATAATGTAGGAAAAATTCTGATTTTTTAAAAATGAGACTTAAAAAAGAAATAAAACCGAAGAAAATTGATAGAATAAAAACATTTTGTGAAAATAGAAAAATATGTAATATTGAACTAAATCTGTAAAAATATGTAATAAAAAATGGTTATAGGAGCGGCGATTCGCAAGAATTACAATTTTGAGAACGGTAAGTAGAAAGACAAAAAAATGTAATTATATAAAAATCCGGTCTCTAATTATGAAGTATTACTTGTTCAATAAAAGTTAACATTGCTAATTTTTATAGAAAGCATAGCTTTATTTCATTATTGCTGACCTTTCGTCTGGAAAATGTAGACTTCAGAGCTGAATATTTTTTTATTTATTATGATAAAGCAGTTCACATTATATGAAAAACACATATAATTATCTTAGTTTGGTCGTATATTAAATTAATCCAAACAAGTTGTGTACGTTATCTTCGAACCCGTTTTCTTCGGGCTGTTTGGCGGAATTTCTAAGGCTGGTTCATGCGCCAGTGATGAATTTAAAGGGATTGTTTATTGCAATTGTTTATTTTGCATTACATAGACCGATAAGATATTCAGTACTTTATTCAGTACAATCGTAATTATATGAATACTTACAATACATTACATTGTACTGTGTACAGTGCAGTCTTGACAGTTGTATAACACATGTATAAAAATAATACTTAACAATACCATTTATTAGAGTTCATTACATAGAGCTACAATGACAGAACATTCTTGAAAATGTATATTTTATAATTAGTTAAATAACTTAGAAAACGTTGTACTATTTCATAAAATTTGTTACTTGTTTACAATTTGTGAAAAAATCTCGTACTTAAATTTGTTACTTGTTTACAATTTGTGAAAAAATCTCGACTTAATAAAAAAAATAGTGTAACATTTATATGTCAAAACCCAGTGAGACCGGTGTATTCCCCGGCACAATTATTTTAAAAATATTTCAATTTGATGGAAAAATATTTCAGACGCAAATGTAAACAGCGTATGAAAAATAATAATTCAAAGATTGGTTTTCCATGCGATTGTTCGGACACATATGCTGTCCCCTCCTAACCCACCGGCTGCCACTTTGCCACTGTGTGGCACTTCGAACACTTGGGTGTATGATTGACCTTCGAAGCGATCTGCGATACGAAGTGAAGCGTCTTCACAGTTGTATCGTAAATCAAGCGATTTATTGTGCCAAGTTGAAGACATTACCCACTTGTATTTAGCTGAGAGCATAATCAGAGCAAGCCTCCCGCATAGTGACTCTCAAAGGCTCTAGATGTAACTGAAAATGGGAGTCATTGATTCACAAAATTTTCAATTAGCATATTTCGGCTTATATTTAAGAATAATTCTATATTAATGGGAGGTCATCCGCTGCCGGGCTGAATGAATTCTGGGCCAAGACAGACTAGACTTAAATCGTAAATAAATTATAGTAATTAATATTTCTTATCAAAAATATTAGCGACAACCACTGCATCAGTATTCGTCAAATCGTATTCATCTTAATTAATTGTAATAACAATGGTCTACTTGTGAACAAATAGATACAATCTTTGCGTTATTCTTTTTCAATTAACAATTTTGTTTTTGAATTTGTACCTAGAAACGTTTTAAATATATGATAACTCTAAAAAATGCCAATGAGTTGTAATATGTTAATTGGAAACCTCAACTCACAGCTCAGTTCCTTTGGATGATGTTGCATGAGGTAAAGTGCGGGTACTAGGAGTTACTAAGCACCATGATACTATGAGAGTTTCTTTTAGCAGAATCTGCTCCTACTAACTAAGATAAGAATATAGTCCAGTTTATTTTCTTTCATTAATTACTAGTTTGTTTCCTGCAAAAAATCTTTTAAATCTGTTGTATTCGTGAGCACAATTGCATCTTCCGTTGTCAACGAAAGTTATTGCGAACAAAGACAATTCGCATTGTTTGCAGATCGCTTGTATCCAACATCCTCTAGTTCTCCCTCGTTCAAGAAATATTCTGAAAAGGACATACATGCTCCAAACCCGAAAATCCACGACATATTCCCACCGTTACTGGAAATCTGAGTCTTTTTTGGGCTCAACGACTGTCATGTCGTTTTCCGCAGCGCCGCAAAACTCCTTGATCTCTAGAGTAATGCGATTCTAACGACAAATTGCACTTGATTTATGGAACGTACAGTTAAGAGGTACGTTATGAAGGATACAGCAGGGGCCACTGAAGCAAGAAACAGTGGTCTCGCTGGCTTTGGCGCGCTGCCTGGCGTGATGACATTCATTGGGTAGGTAGTCTCCGCACCCCCCCCCTCCGCTTCCAACACGACTGAGTGATGGCTGCCGGCAAGTGCGGATGTACACTCTGTCGGGGAGAGCTGCCAACGCGGGTGGCTCGGCAATAAACTGGCCTCAGGCTATGCTGCGATTAATACACCTCTTCCTCTGGCAGGTATCAGGTGTTGACGGCTTCATCCAACTAGGAGCTTGATCATCACCATAGTGACGGGGCTCAAGCTCCCGATTGGATTGAACCGTCAACAGCTGAAACCCACCAGGAGGCAGAGTGGCGAAAAGCGCAGTGTAGAGGCGACGTAAAAGGGAAGCACGAGCGGCTAAGCCCGCAGCGAGAAGCGAGTGAGAATGGAGAGCAGAGGGGAAGCTGCCCTGTAATGAGCCGAAAGGACGGCACGTGTCAGGAGGCACACGGTGCCCAGCGGAGAGAGGCGACTGACGGTGCGCGGGGGCAGCTCACGGCATACACCGGGGGCCAGCGACCGTACCAGGAGGTCTGATGCAACTCCGTTGGTGGAGGGAGCCGACAACGAGGGCTGGCGAGGCCGATGGTGCATGCGTGCCACATCAGCGCAGTGACGTCTGCAGCTACGACGTGGTGGCGAATTCGGCCAGATAAGAGGGTGTGCGAACGAGGCTGGCGAAACATGCATCGTTGCTTCAGTGATCTCGGTTTGAGGTACTTGTAATACATTTGCTTCAGTTGTTTGTCAAGTGTCTAATAAGTCATCAGCATTTTACAAACATAACAAGGTTCGAATGTGCCAGGCAAGATGTTGCTCTTGCAGCGTACAGTGTATTGGGCGGAATTCCGCCAATTGGGCGGAAAAGAGGCGCGGGCTTTTGGGGAGCAAATGCAGTTTGCGAGATTCCGCCCGACGGGCGGAATTCATTGTTTCCCGGCAATATTTTAAACGATGCGATGCTTTATTTGCTTAAGTTATCAATAACACCAACCTTTTCGTAAAAAATGATGTCTTTTCAAAAATATGCACGCACAAGAGTTTTAGTTCTAAATCTCCTGCAAATGGGCGGCTATAATGCAAATATGTCAGAGCCCGCTTTTATATTTAAACCGCCGTGTAATCGTGCTCACCCTTTTGTAAAAATTGTATAAATATTGATGGCTTAATATAAGTAGATTACACGAAAGCTTTCGCGGCTCGAATCCATAAATTCTCGACTTTCACAAGATGACTGAAACTGAATACCCCTATTCATAGTCTATTTATAAATTCTCGGCTATCCGGGAGACGACGCGTCGTTGGCTGGGAGGCCGACGTTTCGCCTGACAAGTCGCAGGCTTCCTCGGGGCAGTGAGTATGACATGTCAGGCGAAACGTCGGCCTTCCAGCCAACGACGCGGCGCGCGTCTCCCGGATAGCCGAGAATTTATAAATAGACTATGCATAGGGGTATTCAGTTTCAATCATCTTGTGAAAGTCGAGCTGTTCAGATATTGCCAGCCTCAGTGTCCGAGCTGGCTTTTTTTTTCATCGCTCACTATTTTCATCACTCTGTCATTTGGCGGAACTGGGCGGATTTGTGTGCTTCCGACGGCGAATTTTTCCACACTGGAACTCGCAACCCCGTCAGCGTGGCGCTGCGCTCCGCTATTTCTTGCGCTGAGCGTGCTTCTTCTCCAGGTCCACCTCGGCGTAGACGGGCGTGAGCGCGGGCGCGGGCGCGGGGGCGGCGGCGGGCGGTGGCAGAGGGGGCGGGGCGCCCACCTCCGCGTAGTACGCCTGCGGCGTCTCGCCTGGGGCGCCTACGTTGGCGTAGTGCTGCGAACATGCGAGCAGATGCGGTAGAGGGTTAGGGCTGAATTCACAGCCGACACTTCTGAAGTAGCTGGTCGTCGCTGATAGCGGTCCGCCTTTAGAGCCGTTGACCAGATATAATCGAAACAGATCTTTTAATATATTAGGAATATACATTTTCCTTTTAATGAAATTAAATATTTAAGATATTGCAGCAGTATCGATGTATATGAAATCATTTTGAAACCAAAGAGCGTCCAAATGGCGCTCCCTCCGGTGCGTGGTGCCTTGTCAGGTATTGCACCACGCTCTTAGCCCTTTCTCTGGGGTTACTGCATTTACTCTTTGGCCTCGATTTAACACGGGGGCATGGGGTCTTGTGGCTGGGCAACCAGACGGGTGGCGCTGTGTAGAGAGTCTGAGGGGAATACCAATATTCTGTCTTCGTGTGACATGTTGCAACGTAATTTTATGACTTTCGCTTGTTATTGAAAGTACAAAAGGTCAGTCATTTATTGAGAGCATTTAATACGTTATCGTCTTTAGAGAATTTTTTTCATTTGATATTAGATTTATTGATTTAAAATATACATTTTATGAATTATTTGTGTATAGTCGGCGGAAAAAGTCCCTTTCTCAGTAGATGCAGCAGCGTGCAGTTACACACAGCTCTGGTGGGAATACGAGCGTGTGTGTGTGTGTATGGAAGATCTTTGTTACAAAATATACCAGGGTAGTGAAATTGTCCTAATATAATAATTTTATTTGTGAGAAACGTGTCGAAGCAATAGTGCCTGTTGCAATGTGCAGGAGACGAACTTAAGTAGCCAGTGAAAATCAAAGCCCGAACCACGTGCTTGGGAGGTGTATAATATACCTCACTCGGATACGACGCATATAATTATGTAACTAATGTTTCAATATAGACTTTTATTCAACTTTTAATTTACTTACTTACCTTTACTGACTTAATTTACTTGAACTGATTGCATTTTTATTATATATATTCGTATTTTGAATTGGGGAAATAACTTTTTCAGCATTCGATGGAGGTACGACCTCCATGTTGGGGTATCAACCGTCACTATTCGGACGAAGAGGTTCCGTGAGGGGCGGAGGTTAGTACAGCTGAGTACAGCGATCGTCACGCGACCTTTCTCTCTCTCTCTCTCTCTCTCTCTCTCTCTCTCACACACACACACACACACACACACACACACACACACTTTTTTTGTTATTTGCGGTCGCCTCAACATCTAGGTCAATAGCGAACACTATTGCATTGAACGGTATCGTAACTGTGAAGAGGACATGATATTGGAGATGATAGGGAGTGAAAGGACGAACACAAATACAACCATGCCCGAGGCGGGACTCGAACTCGCGTTCCTTCGGTCCGAGATCGCTACGACACTACTGCCATCCGGACCGGCATGCGATCTCTTTGTTAGCGTCACATTGAAGGAAGCACTTCGCTTCGCATGTCGGAAAGTTAGATGTGTCGAGCTCATTTGCCAGGGGGAAGCAAATCGGGTGAAGGAAAACGTACTGATGGCAGAGGCAGAGGCTCCGAAGTAGTATTTATTTGCAATTTTGCCATTAAAACTTTCAACATTTTAAGTGAAAGCGCCAAACGTGGCAAGTTAAGTACATGTTCGTAGTTTTCTAAACATTCTTGATCTGCAATATTAAACTCAAGAAGTGAAACTTAATGAGCGATTTGGGTACTTTTCACTGAATTGATCACTTGCCTCATAACCGGTATTTTCAGTTTTGTTATATTTTTTCTAATTTATTTCTAAATCCCGATTTGGTTCCTATAGTTGCCATTTGAAAATTGAAAAAATTTTGGCAGTGGCCAGATACTTGTTTCAGTAAGAGCCAATGGATATTCCACTCTTAAACCATTATTTGAACAGTTTTGGTTTCAAGCAAGTTCCGGTTCATTTTACATTATTTCAATGCTTTTTCTAACAAGAAGTTTTCAGCATTTTCTAAAATGTAAAATACGTGAAAAATAATCTTCGTTTTAATTCTTACCACTAGAAGGTATAAGCTGCATGTTATGCGAGATCGAAATAAGTAGGAAGTCATATATTTTTATTTATCGTATACTTATTTTTCAAACTTTAAGCCTGAAGGGGCTAGTATTTGCACAGATGCTTGATTAATGATTCCGAGCACGCCAAGTGCCTCGACCATGAGTCCCGTTAGTGTAGTTGATATTTTAACACTGGATGTGGCAGAGCTCATTCCCGGTAAATTGTGAGATCCGGTGCCGACCTACATGTCGTTTTCCCCATCCGTGTATCTCCTCCAGCAAAGCACTACTAACCTGAGTCAAGCTCTAATACATTAGTTAAAACAGCACTTTGATATGGGCGCCAATGACATCAGTAGTTAAAGTGCCCTCTAATCCCTAATCCATCAACTATAAACTCCGAAGTGGTCTTTTGATGTGAGGTAGTAAAGTACATGAACGTATAGCTATAAGTTATGTGTAAGTATGGAGTGAGGGTAGGACAAGAGAGGAAGGAAAGACGGCACGCGGTCCGTGGCCATTGTTTATTAGGATACACTTCCGACTTTTGCCTGGCCCTAAGGAGAAATTACAGCAAACTACCGTTTAAAAACACCAGCTGCTAGAATTGTATCACAGTATATGTGTTTATACAGCAGCGCAGCTCAGCCCCTTTTTTGGCTAGTTGGGGATGCGCGCGCATACAGCTAGCGATCCTGGCGGAGCTCAAGTAAAACTATGGGTCGATGCTACTGGGGTATCTGATATTCAGTGAAATTGCGTTTATTAAGAGCTGGTTAAACGTAAAAGAAAAATTGTATTATATCTTGTCCTCGTAGTGTTATATTCCTAGGATTTCATGGGCAACGCATTAAATAACACGTAAAATTACATCGAACGAACGTTTTAACCTTTCTTTTGTCATGTATCGAAACAAATTTGATATGCACCAGCTGAATTCTTATAGTTTTCCACTTAACATATTATTAACAATATGTGTGGTGAAAGGATCGCACTGCTCTGCAATTAAACACAGCAATAATAAAGAAAAGAATCCTGAGTTATGTTGTTTTTTACTTGTCTAATAGACCTACAATGGAAGACATACATTTTTGTTTACTAACAAAAATGTTATTACCCCAAAGGTTACCCTTATTTACTACTTAGATTACTTACATTTCAAGACAATTTCATGAAAGTGTGGAAATACGTGTTCTTCCTCATGATATCACTATTCACTTTCAATGGAAAACATTCATTAGATTTAACATTTCTTAACATTTAAATCATTTCTTTTCTTAAAAATTGTTTTAAATTTCTACTTCACTTGTTTTAGTTATATGCATGAATAAATTTAAAAAATGTATATATATATATATATATATATATAAAATAAGAGAGAGAGAGAGGGAGAGGAGAGGAGGAGAGAAAGGATATACTTTTGGTTAGATTAGCAGTATTACGAAATTGTAAGGCAGCGAAGAATTCCTTGATCGCCTGCGTGGATCGATAGTGTCGCTGTCCAACATGCCGTCATTGAGGCACTTAACACGAGCTGCGCTTCTGTATAATAATATGTATATATATATATATAATATATATATATATATATATATATATAGAGAGAGAGAGAGAGAGAGAGAAGAGAGAGAGAGTAAATACTTTTTGGTTGATTAGCAGTATTACGAATTGTAAGGCAGCGAAGAATTCCTTGATCGCCGCTTGGATCGATAGTGTCGCTGTCCAACATGCCGTCATAGGGCACTTAACACGAGCTGCGCTTCGTATAATATATGCATATATATAATATATATTAATATATATATATATTATATATTATATAATATATAAGAGAAGAGAGAGAGAGAGAGAGAGAGAGAGAGAGAGAGAGATAATGAGGCCGTGCATTGGCAGTGGCGGGTCTCACCTTGTCGCGCGCGCAGCTCCTCGTAGAGGTTGGATGGACGCACCACGCCCGCCACGGCGCGCCCGTGGACAGGTCACCTCACCTCGGCGTAGTCGCGAGGAGGTCGGCGGGTACACACTCCCGCCCCCGCCCGCGCGCACAGCACAGCCCGGTCGCCGTCCCCACCCCCAGCGCCTGCAGGCAAGCGAAGGTCTCAACACATACAGCGCCGAAACAACTCAAATTTGGCGCCCAACTACAAACAGCACAATTCTATTATTAACAAAAATAGTTTTTTAAGGTCGCATTAACACCTAGGTCATTAGCGACCACTATTGCATTCAACGTTACGGTAACTGTAAGATGGTATATTACGGGTGAAAGGATGAATACAAATACAATCATGCCCGAGGCGGGACTCGAGCCTGCGGATGTTCGGTTCGAGATCGCTACGGCACTACTGTCTTAACGATCTCGGCCATCCGGACGGGCAAGTATAATCTTTCTTTGGCATAAATTAAAGAGCTAAGATTGTGCAGTTTCAACACAGCGCGCTTAACCCTCGCACCATGTCTGGTGTCTTTTTGGACTCCACAATCATTAATTTGTGAAAATTTTCCTGAATATTAGCAGGATAATTTCGGTCTTTTAGAATGACTTTGAGCACGTTTTAAGGAGGTACCAATTCATTTCTACAAACTTTCCAAATTAGAGAGCTATTCATTATTCTTCTCATTACATAGCACCGGTTTGACCTAAGGCATAATCTGTAGTTTTCACATTTTCATTTCAAACATATAGTCATTAAATTTTCAAAAATGTGTCTGATACCATCATTTTTGTCTGGTGTTTGATTTATCTTGAAATAACTTTCATAGTCTTATAAATATTTTTCAATAATTATGAATTAACAATGGAGGTTACGAACGCTGAAGGTTACTTTTTTCATAATATATTTAATATGAAAAATATATTTATTATGTAATTGAAAATAACTTAGAAAAAATATTCCTTTATATAATTAATTATTTACGTTCGGTATGTTGTGTTCACGTAAATATTCATGTAAACACATTCATGTTTACCACTTCCAATTGTCAGTAATGGCTGAGGTCCAAAATGAACCACATGTGTGATACTTTAAGGAAAAAAGCATATATGATATGGTCTCTCTTTCCTCCAAAATCCTGCGAACTTCATTTCGGAGCAAAACAAGCAAAATGCAAAGAATACACGTTTTAAAACTGCTTCGCGATGTGCCTACTAGAGTACAACACTGCCCGGGACGAAGCGAGCACGCGGCGCGTTTCTACGTAAGACGCCGCCAATTGATTTCAAACAAAATTAGCACTCGGACACAAAGACCCTCAGTCGCTTTCGCTCTTGGCGACGTGACTGCTGTGTGCGAGCGAACAGACTTTCCAGTGTTTGGAGAACTCACCTTTCTTGCCAGTGCCGTAACAACTTTGCGTTTCCTCCAGACGGGAACTCTTCCACTGCTTCTGGGTTCCACACCTGCCAAAAGGAAATGCTTTGTAGTGTCGTGGAATAGTAATAAACGTCACAAAGCAAAAGAGCCGACCCCTTCATGAGGAGACAGGAGAGTTCACCCGCAGAGGAGGGGAGTCCTGTCGAGTCATGAAAACCTGTTGTGCAACATTTTATTCAAGAACCTTTTTACTTTCTCGTATACGTACGTATATTCTATTTGTCCATCAGTCGGTCTGTATGTCCGTCCATCGGTTTGTTTGTCCGTTCGTCGGTGTGTTTGTCCGTCAGTCAAATTGTTTGTCCGTCCGTCGAATTGTTTGTCCGTCCGTCGGTTTGTTTGTTCATCCGTCGGTTTGTTTGTCCGTCCGTCGGTTTGTTTGTCCGTCCGTCGGTCTGCTTGTCTGTATGTCTATACGTCGTACTGTTTGAAGGGTTGGCGTTTTTGCAATGCAGTTTTCATTTGCAAGTGATAAAATAAAAATGAACGCATTGTCAATTAGGCCTATTTACTCGTGAACATCCGTGATATCTGCAATGTGCTGTGAACTTCAACCGTTCAAAAACCGCAGGAGCCGCTGAAGTTACGTGACTCCTAAAGTTAATGAAGTTCTTTCTTGAGAAGGAATGAGTGACAGGTTTGGATTGGCCACCACAGTCGTCAAATTTAAATCCAATTGAAATTTTGCGTGAAAGTGTTGATAGAAGGATTGATCGAACCAAAGCAACTAAGTTAGACAACCAGTCTGAAGAAATACGAAAGGCATGGCATTTAACTACAGAAGAGGAATGTAGACGTTATGTGAAGTCATTGGGAAGAATAAGCTGAGCTGTACTAAAAAATAAGAGATATTCTACCAAGTGCTAACCCATTGAAGAGAGGGAACTGTGTTTTTGGCTTTTTTATATTTTTCCAAGGTGTTATATCAGATGGCTCAATTTCTTGACTTCTTAGAGAGATACTCTTTGTAATATTTTTGTTATTTGTAAAATAATTTGGATCTGAATGCCATGAAAATGTTTATTTATGTTTCCATATTGAGTACAAAATAAAAGATATGCTATTTATAAATAAAAATTATTTGCAAAACAAATCCCTCAATTTCTTTATCATGGCATGGTCTCTATTTTATTAACCGCCACTAATATGTGTGTGTGTATATATATACACACACATATACACAGTGATCTTTTATCCCAATTTCATGTTAGACTAAATAATAAAGTTAAATCTGGATATGTTCTGTTAATATAACGGATGAATTAAGGTGGCTTCTCGAACCTTTTGTTGTGAATTATTAGTATTTTTGATTAATAGACTTATAAGACCAAATTAGTATAAACCAATTTTGTTTTAAATTTCATTTTAATTTTTGATATGTAACAAATTTATGGTGAATGAACAAGCGTGTTTTGGCAAGGCACACCTATTGACGGAAGCACACGGTTTGGGGCATTCGGTCATGAACTGACGAACGCCACCGCTTGTACCCTGGCTTAATGTACTTTTTGAAACGGGATATAAATACTATTATCCGTAATGTATGTATATATATATATATATATATATATATATATATATATATATATATATATACACACACACTACACACACTATGTAAAAAGTTTCATGAAATATAATTTTCGTTTAAATTTGATTTCTCGCCTTGCAAAATGTGACTAGTGTAAACGTAGTTAATAGATAATGAATTATTAGAACACTTGTGTGAAAAATGTAAACAGCTTTCTTCTTCAATTTAAAAAACGATTATCATTAATATTGAATCATGGATTGTTAGAACACATGTTAAACAAACTCTTAGTTTTGTGAAGTTTGACTTCGGCTAATCAAAATGGATGAAGTGACTTTTTACGAAATATGTTGTTTTTTACGCTATTTCGCAGCTCGCGGAGGCGCTGGTCTTCAGTTTGAGAACCGATGGAGATTGGGTTTTGTACTCACCGACGTCCAGCGAAGAAGGCAACGAAGACAAGCACTAGGAGAACAGAGCAAGCGGCAACCCATATCCATTGATTCTTATCCTCATTTTGTACTGATAGAAGCTGGTGAGGAAGGGGCGAGGACACACACATTGAAACCTCCATCGATGATGTCGGTTTTTCCGGTGATGTCGATGTTGTTATTATTGTTGGTGGTGGTATTGTCGTTGTTGATTGGGGTAGAGTCCGAACCTTAAGTCTGGCACTATAACCATCTTTGCCTGTGGTCGAAGTGAACCACACATTCACAGTGTATTCAGTGTTTTCCTCCAGATTTTCTACCTATGAAACGAATATTACTGTTAATCTTACAAATAATAGCAAGTGTTGGATCACCTCTTTTATTGGAACTTAACTGTTAAATGAAGATTTGCAAGTGCAATATATGTACCAAGAACTGAAGCCATACTGCATGAAAGATCTCAAAATCCTTTGAATTCCCAATTAAACGTTTCGTGATTTTCTCAGTGATAGAGAGTACTCTAACCCTCTTTCATTCCATGCTGACTTGCAAACAAATTTCGCGAGAACGTGTTTTTTGATTAATAATTAGATTGCAACCCATAAGGGCGGTTCTTCTCAATACATCGAACATTTAAAATTCACACTTTTAAATGAAACATCACCCTTGATAGCACACCTAATTTGGAAACATTTTAAAATTCGGATTCGATGGGGACAGATTCATCGCCCTACCAATTTTTACCTAAATATCTACACTAAAAATGAATACATATTCTAGATCAACATCTAGAAGTGTAGAAACGTTGTTTGTGCGAAAGTAAGGAGGTAGGTGCGACTTTTCTTTTCGCCAAGACACCGGCCGCACTTAAGGTCGTATGATGATATATATAGTCGTGCAATCGACCACGTTGAATTACTTTCAAAAATACTTTAATTGCAAATAAAATCGCTCTGTACTTCAAGATTGTAAGAAAAAATGTGGATCGTTCCGGCCAAATTTTTGAATAGAATAAAACTTATTATTAGTACAGGTAGTTATGGAAAACCTTTCGCGGGCATCGTTTTTTAAGGTATCGAATAAATTATACGGTGAAAATACGTTTTATTTTATTCAATACGTAGCTATTGGTTTTTGTGGAATCATATGTTATTAAATGCAATATACCTCACGGGGCATTTTGAGGAGATTTGATAAAGAACTACTGCGAAATTTATCGCAACCGGAAGTACTGGCTCTGGGCCTGTGAGTTATGCTGCATAATGAATAATAATTGGTTTCCTGGAGCTACTATTCAATATTTCTCTTTTAATTGTTTAAAATTATTTTTTTAAATTCTCCGTTCACTTTTACAAGTAGATATTAAAAATATATTGATATAATAAATGGTTGAGTATTTGACTAGCGACTGGCACGAACACACTATCTTAATCGGGGGTCTTGGGAAGGATATGTGCGCGAAACAGTATTCCCGGTTCAAGAATAGACACTCACTTTCTTGCGTAGCTCTAAAATTTTCTTGAACGCATCTTACTGATGAGTTAATAAGCGAGAATCGACAGGGATTCTGGCAAAAGCAGAAATTATCTCACTTAGACGACAGAACAGTGGACACATTTAGAAAAAAACATGAGAGGAGAAACCATAGAATGTTAGTCTTCCTTGGTTGGTTAAAAACTATTGACTTCTTGAGAACAGTTGTTAGATGTAGCGCATGCGAAAAAGCACAGTCCAGCTTTTATCAGTTTTCGCTTTTGGCAATTTTCGGAGGGCGGGGGCTGGAACATCATATTTGGAAAATATAGTTTCTTTGTGAAACGATGCTTCTGCAAAATCTTGTCAGATCTTAACATTTCTTTTGAGGTTTATGAAAAAAAATATATCTGTTCTAGAATAAAAAAAAGTGTGAATTTTTATTTCTGGTTTTGTGGCTTACCGTTTTCTCGTACTCGGGGCATAACGTGACACTTGTTGGTGGCAACGCAGTGACTTTTCCGTCCGTCGAGCGCGCTCTGATGACGACCTTGTCGAGGCGGCGACCGAGGACGAGCGGGCTGGCCCAGCGCAACACCAGCGATGTCGCCCCCGCCTCCACCACACGGAGGCGACGAGGCGGTCCCGGAACTGCAACAGCGCGACGGGCGGCCCCTTCACACAACGCTTTCAGTCCCTTCACGCGGCGCCAGTCAGCGCGACTTGTAGTGGCGCGTCTGCTGCCAAAGCAGTGGTTTAAATGGAGGTATTCACATGAGCGCCGTGTATAGTCATGCGGCTTTGGCGCCCTGTGGCGAACCAGCAACGCAGACCCGCAACCGCGCCAACGCCAGAAGAACGCAGTTCTAAATGGCAGACTTCACACTAGACCGATCAGGTGCACGATTGGACGTAATTGTTCATGCTGGAAGCCATTTGGCTCGGTTAGTGGTGGTACGAAATATAGGCGTGTTCACTCTCAGTCTAAAACTGAAGCTTATGTGAGGCCAGTTCTCACAGTTCTCGCATATTAGCACTGCGATCGGTTTGGGCATAGTTTGGGCTGATGGCTTCAATTAACAGCACAGTGAGCAGCTAACCTGGCTGATCTCTTCGTAGTAAAAATTTTATTTCAGAGTGTGAAGTAAATTTAGCAGTTTCCCAAGTGGGTCGAAAATACTTCGTTAAACCGTGTGATAGTTCTAGTGATAGATGTCACATCAAATAGCTTTCTTTTCGTTATCGATGCGAGAAGATAATAGAAGCAAATACGGTTTTTCTCAAAAGCAAATTCTTCTTCTATACATAGTCACAAATACATAGTCAAAGCAATTTTACAATTAATGGTTTGCACATATGCAACAGCATTTTGAAATTGTGGTACAGGCAAATAGTTGTTAATAATAATAATAACAATAATAATAATAATTTAGAAATAAATGTAAAATTTATATATGTTACTTATGTGATATTTATGTACATTCATATATTTAGGAAATTAAGAAGTATGTAAACTGTGTAGGCGTACTGCTTGTAAGTAGGTTATAATTGGCATTCAAAACGATATTTCAGAAATTTGCAATTATTTCAGAAAATAATATGTAGAAATTGAATATTATTTATATTAAAGAAATAATTGAGTTGAATTGAGTAATAATAAAAATTTCTTGTTTAGTACAGCTAAAGTACATTTTTCGATGTTGAGAATGTATTGTGTGACGTCATGGATACTCACAGCGACCACAGACACAGAGCTTTCATATAACAAATATATTTATTAACAAAGAAAACAAAACAATTACATACACTTAATAATCTACTTACACCCTAGCTCTGATAGACCTACTATCCCCTGATCGTGGGAGCGATCCAAACCCGATTGAAGATGGTTTTGATTGTGGCATTCGCCACTCCTACTTTTGAAGCGCGCACAAAGCCTAGCTTCCGTGACCGGATGTCACGCTGGGACACAAAGTCCGTTCTGGCGCACCAACGACTGGTTTGCCTCGATCGCAGGAGCGATCTTATCCGATTGAGAATCGGCGTGAATCGTGGCACTCAACCACTCTTCACCTCGGAGCACGCACACAGCACCGCTCCCCCGTGACCGCAGTCACCCAAGGACCTAAAGTCCGCAGGCTTCGTCAACTAGTGACTCGAGCCTCGCGCGCCTGGCTCGCATATGCACCGTCGTGGCGCCAAGTTTTGTGAACACGCACGAGGTTCTCCCACTGTCTCCAGAACCCACCCACTGGCTCTGTACACTCTGTTATATAGGCGAGGCCCACGTGACCTACTACGTCACGCCACCCCCTCGCTTGTTATAACAGTGAAAAGTTTCTATAGGCCGGATACTCCCAAAGCCTTGTGTCTCCCCTTTCCGCGTTCTTCTCTTTACGGAAAAACCCTTCTTCCTGTGGCGAGGCTAATCCTCTTCCAAGCGTCCCCAAATAGATGCCATGAGGCACGCTGGCTAATACGTTACAATTGTAAGCTGCAGAAAAGCTGAAATTAGGCAGTGGAGGGGCTGCTCAGCATAATATAGAAGCAAAAGGTCCTTGGAAATAGGTCTATAGTCATCATACTTGGTTTTGAATTCTTGTGTTGTTTGCTAAGAGATATTTTCCGAGCTGCTTCCACATATACATTTTTTGTAGTAAAGAATTTCTTTATCGGAATCAGACCAGATCTTAATTTTGTTAATGTCATGTTATGACCCCCAAGATGTGAAGTGTTTGTTCTGGAGGTAGTTTGTATATCTGTGACGTACTACTCATGCATTATTTTAGTTCGTATAATTTATGAATTGCAAAATGTGTTCATAAACATCAGTTACGAGGCAAAATTCACTTCATAAGATAACCTATAAACAAAATAAAAAAAATATTTCTACTAGAAAATTATGATTGACACTAAAATTGTTTTTCAGTGAGAGCCATTGATGTATATACTGTTACGATGAACAAATCTGTTGACTGCAGAGCAACATGAATGTCAAATGATTAATAGTATTGAGGTAATTTTCGTTAATGTAATTCCTAGTTTTTTATTATTATTACATCAAATACAGTTTTTAAATGGATATTCTCATTCTTTGGTACTTAAATCATATAGTTGCAAATATACATGGCTCACGCTAGATCACATTTCAAAAAAATTAAACATATCTGTCAGACTTTATAATACGTCTTAAGAGATTCCAATACATTCAGTGTAGCGTCTCTCCAATTTTGTATATACAGTAACCAAAATCCCTGCCTTGCAATGAAATTAACAGAAAATTCAAAATGCGCGACACACCATCATAAATGCCCAAACCGATCGTGGGCACCGCACGAACAAACGAGGAACTAGTCGCAAACTGGCTTCAGAAAATTTGTCCAAAAGGTGGCTAGTTAACACACCTATATTTTGTGGCGTCATGAGGGTGTAATCGAAACACAGACGAGAGTGGTTTGTAAAACAGTAGATTTATTAACAATCTAGACCGTAGTCTCAATTTAACATCTACCCTGCTCACAATAAACTAAAGAAATAGACCCACTACAAGGAGAGATAATTTAAGAACGGCTACCACACCGCAACATACCACCGATGTTCCCTGTACGAAGCCGCTCTACTTTGAGACCATCTACGCGTCTCGTAAGTCACGACAATGAATTGCCGGCTCCTTGCCCTAGTGCACCTACTCGCACAGACACGCGCTTCACCTGTCGCCGACACCGCTAGAACAAGAAGACTGGGGTATTGTTCTCCTGGTCTTATATAGGCCCTTTTGGCTCTACCCGCCGCCCCCATTGCCCCCTCCCCAAAGCCGCTCTGAGCCCGATACGTCCACGGAAAGTCCCTGTGCGTCATCACTCCGCCATTTGTTTATGATCCGGTCGATGCTTCGCCGATTTCCATGTAGTTGTCTGTTTCGAGCGTGGCTCGACGCTACAAGACTCTACATAAAATCAACGCGCGTGTATGTGCGCAGGCATGAGCACATTCCCATCGTACAATGCCTATATTCTTCCTGGAAGTGCAAGCAATAAATTGGCAAAGTTTTATTGCAATCGGATGAACGGTACGGCAGCGCATTAAGCACGAACCAAACACAAACAAACAAACAAAGTATTTTATATATCAGATGAACAATACAGCCGTTCAGGCCATGCGAGATGAATGCGCGTGCCTCAGGTTGACGACCCCTGGGCTACACCATTTTTTAAAACGAACAGTGCTTGAAGAACTTACGAAATTTGTGCTTGTATGTATTGCCTTTTGTTTACATATAACTTAATATTAAAACGTTTGTATAATTTAATCAATGACACTATGGAATACCGTCGCATTTCTAGGGCCAAATTTGCTGTTTTCTGTAGTATCCAAAAGAAATCAATTTCTAAAAATAGATTTATTCCAACCACAATCCGTACAGAGATAGACAAATTCAAGCCAGATCCAAACAATTTTCCAGAAGATGTACCGAAGAATGTCCAAGTCACAATTTCCCGGGGAAATGTCCCAAATCGCAGCCGTTGTGCCGTTCACTGAACCAAGAGAGAGAAAGTCCGTAACCGTAGCTGTGTCGTCGCACTTGTTCACAATCCACTTTTCACTTCACAATGTAGACAGGCGCTTGACTGTCTCTCAGTTCGCCGGGCGCGGCTTTTGTAGCCGGCTCGGGCTGCGGGTCCGCTGGCCAGCTGTCAGGTACGGGTGCGCCCGTCCGCTCCGGAGCCTGGTCGAGCGTGACGGCGCCGCGGCGTCTGCTATCGCCGCCCTCTCTTGAGTGGCGCCGGAACTAATTTCCGGCGGCACTTTTAAAGGCACGCGGTCGGCCACAGAATTTTCCATCACTGGAAAGTTGTCATCGGGCCCGTTATGCATATGCCGGTAGCCAAATCGTTCTGCAGATCACCAGCGTGCCCGTTTTGTCTGATGCCCTTCTTATTCAAGTTTCCCTTCCATTGACAATAACCCCTCTCCCCGCAATAACTCCCCTCTCAGCGCGCGAGCCGTGTTGATAGCTACCACGAGCGCTCGTGCTCATCTTTGTCGAATTGGGGAGCCTGATCTGACTTAATACTTACCCAAAGGGAGTGTCCCGTATGTTCAGTGAAGTAAAAGTCTTTCTTTTTTTCTCGCATTTTATTCTTTCTCGTCGAGCACCAATTCGTGACCCCAAAGCAAGACTGAGACCAAGCATCTGATTAAGCATGATTTTGTTTTCTTTCTCGTATGTACGTAATCAGTAGGAATTATTTAAAAATATTTTCAGTTCCGGAGCTACGAAAAAGGCATAGCATATTGTGATCATTGTATGTTTGAGGTCCTTTGCACTGGGTCACAAAAGGTCACGAACTTATTTTGAAATAATTCAGCGTTCACTATCTTGCTTAGAAAGCCCAACGGTTCTCTACATTGACAGATGCAAACATTAAGATTATTATGACAAGTTATTTAGTTGGCACGCCATTTATTAATAGTTCTAAATCTCATACCGAACGTGAGTCAGAGCGTTCTTCCAAAGTTCGAACTTTTGCAGAAAAACGTTTCTATTTCAGGACGCAAGCTGAAAATCATTCAAGTCCTTTTGCGTAGCTAAATCTACGCACCTGACAATGATAAATAATGATAATGAATACTCTCACTACATAGTACTGCCAAAAGTTCTGATATTGCCTATGACTAAATCCATCAGTTCTTAGAAAATTGACAAATTTTACTTCTAAAGGGGTAAAGGAGGAGGGGGAGAAAGTTGACTACTGCCTGGCAGAATGCTAGTCAACTGCTTAGGATGTTTCTCGGATGCCCCGATGCAGAAAGTCGAAATGGGACCTTTATCTGCAATAAATGTGAAATTAAGTTTTATATATAATTGGTAAAATAATATGACTGATGTAAAGAAGGAAATAAGCATGAAATGAGAGCCGATATCAGTCAGTGGGAAATGTTATTAAGGATCCCTACTTCAGGGGACCGGTTGTGTTGCTTTATAGCAGAAAATAATTATCTTTATTATATCTACCAATCGCTGTTTCATATCGGCCACATATCACCAATGAACCCCTGGATCATCACTGATTCCCTGGGTTAAACACACGCGCCAACACACACAGATGAAACTGCCACTTTTTCAGGGGAGATGGGAATCCGTTAGGAGGTAGAAAGGAGTGTGGAATATTAGCTAATGAGATCATCTACTTTTAATGTTGCTTCTATACTTACTGTCAGTATTTATTGATGGTGAAAACTTCACAATCATTGGATCACTTTCTTGCAAATCCGTCATACGTCTCACCTGTATCTGCACAGGAGAAAAATATCCTTATAAAAATAAATCATGCTTATAGAAAATTATATCACTTATGTAAAGATTATCATTGTTATAAAAATAGTATTTTATTTTATAAGCGGCTGAAATAAATCATTACCTGCAAGTTAGTTAATTATTCACTAGCGCGTTAACGTGAGTGTATAATTACTAACGAGCACATAATGATCTTTCAGCCAATATAATATTCAGCGAATGTAATACACAATTTTGAATCTTATCGAATCGCCTTTGTAACATTTTAAGCCTGTTCTCTTCGTAAGTAGGCGTAATGATGAATGTTATTGATTGATGATTGATTTCGGCGCTAGAAATCGAAGCCTTGGCGGAAATATTTGAGTTTACAATCGCTGTATTGCAAGAAATGAAAAATATGACTGAAAGTATTAAAAGTGAAGCTGCGAAAGCTGTACTACGCAGTACATCTATACGTATGTTTCGTAAAGAATATGGAAGTTTCCCAGAAGTGGAGGGGAGAAAGAAAAAGAACATATGTTAGGAAGTAACAGGTTCGTAGAAATGTAAAACATACTTTGCTATTTGATGAGTATTATGAGTGAAAGGTTAATTTTCATTAATAAATTATTAAATTATGTGTTTATATATATATATATATATATATATATATATATATATATATAATATATATAAACACATTTCATCATTTTTCCATAAAGTAGTATTTTAGTGAGCATCGTATTGTCCATTTTCTCGGCAGCACTTTTGCTCTAATTTATCGTGACATCTGATACAGGGCTGTAATAAAGAGCCATTTCACCGACATCGGATACGTATGTAGACAACCTACAAAGGCGATTGGATAAGACAAAAAAATTATTATTCTTACACAATTTATATATCACTATAAAAATTATATACTATTTTCAATAAACTATAGTATTCTCACAAATATATGTATCATTCTTTAAAACTAGTGGTGCTACAGAATATCAAAGCTTTCTCGCACTAGTTACTTTTCAACTCTCATTAGTCGAGGCTAGGTTTTCGAAATTGCCCCACTCTCTTTTCTTATCGACGCCAAAACGACATTTTTCACACACTTTCATTTTTTCGATCACGTAACAATAGAAATAGAACATATCTTTAAGAATATTACAGAAGAGTAAAACATAGTTTAATAGTTTGAAAGTTTTCATTTTCAAATTTTAAGCCGTTTTTGAGAAAATGTCGTTTGAGAGTTTCTGAAAATGAGCAATTTTAAGCTCATTTTCTTAGAAAAGTATTGAGTTTACTACAAACATAATAAATCATTTGAAGAAATTGTACTAAAAATGCAGTAATGTGTTGAAAAGGTTTGTAATATAATCATTAACCACGTGAGAGATGTTTAAATAAGTAAAAATAAAATACCTTAGAGTAGTTTTGAAAAATCAGAAAAATACATTGAAATGGTATTTAGCACTATCCGTATAAAAGTTGACACTATTTAGATATTCAATGCAATTATGCGTTACTATTAATGTTTTTGAAGCAATCAACTTTTCCAACTTCACAAAAGAAATGTTTACACTTACAGCTACTGAGCACCCGCTTCTCGTGTCAATGGCGAGGAAGAGGCAGTGACGATCAGGCCAGGCAACGCATGGTGATACACTGCCACCCACTTTCTGTAAATTGTTGCTCTGGAAGGAACCCATCTTTTCGTATCCGCTCGATTTCTTATTTTTGGACGAATGGCGAACTCTGTACTCAAGTTCTGCCACACAGTCGAATTTTGGAGGAATCCAGCTGAGACCTAACCAATTACTACCCACTGAGTGAACCTGTGGAGCTGATATGTCAGGCACTTTATCTGTTACAAAAAATGACAGCAATTTTTAGTATAAAATGTGTAACGTAAGTTAACAACATTATTATCTCTTTTAACAGCGCATTAAGTTACTAAAAAACACAATTATTACTTATTTTTGTTGTTAAAAAACTTCTGTGTATACAGGTCTTCGGGGGTATTTACTTATCCCCGACCAGTCTGCTGTTCCGGCCGTACGACAGTTTGTTGGCTTCGGAGTGTATGAGTTGTTTTAACCATTCCAGATGTTACTAATCTACTCCTCAAAAGCTTGTGCTATGTTGCAGTACACTTGTTATCCTTCGTTTCCGTATGCGAACGTGAAAAAACGTCTCGCCACGTAAAATAAGGCAAATTCAATTCAATTCAAAAAAAAAAAAAGAATGGCATTTTGTAGTTTTTTAATACTTTCGTTTCCGATGGTACTACAACTAGGCTGGCTACGTTTTTTTAAGGTCGCTTTTCAACTAAGGTCAAACGATCACTGTAAGTAACATTGGGAGAAACGGTAAAGATATACGGACACACACACAAACGTCCTTGCCCCGGACGAAGTTCGAACCAGTGACCCTTAAGGAACGAGGCAGCTTCGAATCTTTAGCCTGAGCGACCTCGGATATCCCAGACTGGCGCCGATTACTTTATTGTTTTATAATAACAGAATTACAATGTTAATAACCTGTATTTCATTAGGAGCTTTCTGAATTTCTTAAGAAGCCCATTTCATAGGTTTATCTATTCATGTGTATTCACTTGTACACAGTACGAGGCTCGCCAAAGGGCCATGATCTGAAGACACATATTATCTATTTCCCTTTCGATGTGGCGGGTATCGTGCGGTGACCTATCACGTGAGTTGAGTATTAGCGTTGTTTGGGAAAAGCTATCAGCAGGTAGTACCTACATGTTGGATCGGAATAAATATTACAAAATTCTAAGACACCTGGGAGATCGAAGATGATTACTTTTTGCCCATGAGTATGGGTTGGGTAATCTCTTATTATGAAGTTATTCATATTCAATTTCGAGTGTAGCTTTCCTGATGGGCAAGCAACTGCTCTGGTGTTTGGCCGGTATACATTTTGTCTTAGTGACAGAACGTGTGATGAGATTTCCCATTACATGTTCATTAGCGAAAAGTGTTGTTCTTCGTCCCCTTCAAATACTCTAGAAGTTTGTAAAGATGTGTTCCAAACAATTTTGCATACGTATTCTAAAATCCGTCATTGGATGAGTGTACGTAGTATGTAGAACGAGAAGCATCGAAAGACGTCTCGCTTGTCCCCGAACAGTGGGCAGGAAGGGCTACATCTGCGAGGAAATAACTAGCATACATACGCAAGCACACACACGAATGCTATTTTTGACGTGCCAAAGGCACTACATTGAACTACCTTTCAATTAACACACCTCACCAGAGGGGCACACCCCAGCCGAGACAAGCTCTAATCTCCCGACCGGCCTCCCTGAACGTGTCAGGGTGACCGGTGTAGAGTTGTGCTTATTAGTATTACTGTGTAAGTAAAGAGGGAGGATACGACAAGGAACAGAAAGGAAAGATCGCTTCCGGCCCTTGGCCCATTTGTTAGGGTACTGCTCCGACATTCGCTTGGTGTTTATCAAAGAAAGTAAGGAAAACAACGTATCAGAGCAGCCAGTGGCGAGAATTCTCCTCCAGACAACGGAGCTATGTAGTTATTGTCGAAAATCCTGCCACCGCCAGGACTCGAAACTAGAATCTCCCGGCCAGACGCACTGCAGTGACATCACTTGAAGCCCTGAGCCACCTCTCCCTCTCTCACTATTTCTGGAGTGCTGGGGAAATGTTAGCAGCGATGTGTTGTTGAGAGTTTTAGCGATTCCTTCGCCCTGTGGTGCGATTTTAAATTGTGCGACGAAAAATTTCCAAGTTAGTGCGTTCTGTGTCGTTTCTGAAACTTCTTTTACTAATGTAACGTAACGGGCTATTATTGTCATTTGCCTCCACCTAGAAACGGGGTATTATATTAGAATATAATATATATTATTATATAATATTATATTATCATATTAGAAGACCATGGATAAACAATCAGAATGCTTCGTTAGGCCGCGGAGATAAGATCGAGAGCATCTCGGCCTGTGGGGTTTTTGCAAATGTATGTTTGATTTGCTAAGGAGATTAACAGTTATTCCTTCTGAGTGTTTAAATTCCGAGTGTTTAAATTCCTTCTGAGTGTTTTATGTAAATTGTGGAACTGTAAGACGAAATTCTTGAAATTAAATTGTTATTTTTTACTTTCTCGCGCTTAAGAAGGAACTTCTATGGAAGAGAAAGTTATGTAATGCTGCGCGAAAAAACGGCGAATTTTCGGCATAAAATACGTCACATACATTTTTTTACTGTTTTTTTGACTGAATAAATCTAAATCTAAAAACTCTTATTACAAGGCCCTGGTAAAGAAAAAGTTGATAAATCCATTTGCTAAATTTAGAAAAAATATCCTCTAACACTGTCCTCTAAAACTATCCTCTAACCAGAATCAATGTTTTGTGGGTCCTTGATACAGAAAATTCGATTGACGGCAAAACGTCGCGGATAAACAGTTCAGGCGAATTTCTCCAAAACTATCCCCAATCAATCTGACAGATGTCGCGGCCCCTTCAATTTGAAATCAATATTTTAACTTTGGAGGTAGTTTACATGCTACACTTGGGACATTTTCAAAATGAAAAAAAAATGGTGCCATAGATTATAATTAAATTTTATTGTTGGGTAGTCTAAAGGATGTTTAAGAGAATGGCACAGGTATCATGGTAGTTGAAATCTGATTTTTATAAAATGTAACAAAATCAAAATTTTTTTCAGGGTTTTCCTACAACTAAAATATTAATGTTAGAGATTTTCCCCATTCATAAAGACTGTTCCTTAAAGATAGCAGCTGGGAGGAGTGCGAGCCGACAGCGGCGAATTATATTGTGAGCGTCTGTGATTGTGACGTGACGTGGCGTGGCGTGGCGTGGCGTGGCATGACGTGGCTTCGGCATTGATGTGGGCATGGGCATGGACATGGGCGTGGGCGAGGGCGTGGGCGTGGGCGTGAACGTGGGCGTGGATGTGAACGTGGGCGTAAGCGTGGACGTGGTCGTGGGCGGGAGCGTGGGCGTTTGCGTGGGCGTGGGCTTGGGCGTGGCGTGGCGTAGCGTGGCTATGGCTAGCGACTCGGCAATGATGGAAAGCACCCATAAATTGCCTGCCCGCCATCGAAGTGAACTGGAAATCGCGGCGTGGTGTTAGGTGCTCCTAAGGAATTATTGGAAGTTGAAACATGTAGACGTATTTGCCCCTCAACTATCAGTGTACTGGAGTGAATAGCTGAGAGAGTTTTTAGTATTTATAGCATAAGGTTTTAATTGATTTACCATTTTTGTTACTTGGAGGTGGTTAATTATTCTTTGTAATGTGTAGAGAAATTATAGTTTTGCGGCCCAGTCAATGGAATTTCTTCAAAAAATAAATGCGATATTTGTTGTCGTTGAATGTTTCTATTCAATTGTGTTTACCTTTCACATCCATGTTTTGAAAACTGTTAGAAGTTCTGACGTTTATATATTTAATCTTAAATAGCATAAAGGAAGTTTAATGGAATGGTACAAGTCGCATATTCGTTGAAATACTATGATTTTGTTTTTTGTGATGTTTTTGTTTGTGATTTTGTTTTTTGTTTGTGAAAATTTGAAAAAGATTAAAACTTTTGGCGTCTTTTTACAACTACAATTGTGAAGATACATTTTTTTCTTAATCAAATATATTCATAAAAAAAAGATATTCGAATAAGATTATGTTGAATGTCTGGAAATATGAGTATTGTTTGTGTAATGTGACTACAAAGTCGCCCGTTCCAAATTTACTGCGCTTCGTGAACATAAGTTGAGATGAGTTTGAAAGCTATTGCTATTCTTTTAATATAAAGTAGATTGATGGATAGTAATAAATTTATCATAGCACTAACAAACTTCTTTACTTAAGGAAATTTTGATTGCAGATTATTTTCATTTTTTATCATTTTTGAAAGTTGGAAATGACTACTCTTGGCTATCGAAATAAATGTAGGTATCCATCACAAGTGCTTACTCCGAATCGGTTGGGTTTGGATTACATTTTAATACTTTGCATGGAAACAAAAATTAAAAAAGAAATGGAGTACCATTAAGTTTTATGAACATTTTAATTTTATATTAATGCATGCGCTGCCTTGGGACACAATGCAGCGATGTGTATTTCAGACGTTCATTGTTGAACGGCAACAATATAAGATAATGAAATGTGACATTTGATTGAATTCGTGTAGGCATCCGTTTTGATGATTTGTTTTATTTCTTTATTTATACATATTTTTTATTTAACGTGACACGAGAAAAAACTGAGTTTGACGTATTATGGGGAGAAATGTATTCTGTGTTTTCGTACATTCTGGTTCTTAAAGTCTTTTTTCGCGCAGCATAACTTTCTCTTCTTAAGATGTTCCTTGTTAAACACGAGAAAGTAAGAGAAAGAAAATGAGCTTCTCTCAATGTGATTTTGACTGTAACTAACCTATCGTTTTGTATAATTTCTTACTGAAGCTCAGAAAGTTTGATTAACTCATCTTCATTATCTCAGTTTTCCCGAAATGACCAGAGGGTTGTGGTCATGTTCAATTTGATTTTTTGTCTAAAGTTTTATATAAAAAACAAAAATAACTTGCTCTGAATTCAAATTGTAACGTGCTTGTGAATAACCCCCCCCACACACACACACACATACACACGTTTACTTTTGTAATCCATTATCGAGTTTTGTTATTTAATCTTTCCCAAATCTACATGCATTACGTAACAGTCAGAAGTTATTGGATTTTGCCGATTGAAAAAAGGAAAAATCGTCAAAACAAGAAAATGGCTATCGCCGAAGAAACCGTGCAAGATTAGAGGTTAGCTCACCGCATAAACATTCGGCAATCGAAACCGCTGGCATTTGGT